CAACCAGCTACACTTTAAACGGAGCGTCCAGATTTATTGTGCCAAGTCAGGAAACTCTTTACTCCAGTTTCCCTCCTCCAATAATCTTCAGTGACGCTACGATTATCAGGACGGCCATGTTACTCCAGTCCGTCTGGGGAGGCGTTGTTAGCATTAGTTCAGCTAATTGTGACGTTAGCCTAGCACTTACTGTTAGCTTCTGCTAAGTATGGTGTAGCGTTAACTTCCCCTAAATACCATGTTGGTATAATGCTTCCCTTGTTAGTGAACTACAGCTTATGATTAGTGCAGCTAACGTTTTGGTTAGCATTGGTCACCACTGCTGGGAAGGGTCAAAGGTCATCTCCAAACAACCTGGCCGTCCCAGCAGATTCAGCCCAACATCAGAGAAATGACCAAAATCCCAAGAGCTCCATCTCAGACTCCACAGGCATCAGTTAGCAGGTTAAAGGTCATGAGTCTGAACCAGAACGGCTGCTTAGAAACAAGATGGCGGCAGGTTTCTGCATGCGGGAGCATTTAGAGCAGGGAGGTTCTGCGTTGCCACTGGATTTTTAGCTGTATCCCAGTGCTGACAGCTGGTGAGGCGGGTCCAGACTGGGTGGAAGTAGAAACCATGAAGCATCCTGGGTTGATCGGGAGAAACGAGAAGATCCTCTTCGCTCTGCAGATCGAGTTCAACACATTCTGACTCCAATTATTTCCATCTCTTCCTGGTTGTGAGTGTTTCTCTGGAAACGAGGAGCGTCTCTGTGGATGTCCATGGAAAGCTGAAGCCCAGACATGATTAGCGCTCCTTGCTAGCAGGAGAATATGCTCCCCGGATGGACTGGAGAAAATTTCAGAACGACAAAACCTCCTGAGGGACGGCTACTGAAGAAAACTTCCTAAACTTTGTGGTTTGTGTGCTTAAGAAAAAAAAATTAAAAGTTAGCAGGAAACATGACAATAAGACTAGATGCGTTAGGGCTGGACAATAAATCAATAACAATATCAATAGACAATACAGCTGATAGAATATTCAATAAGTAGAATGTCAACTGAACTCTGATCCAGAACCGCACGGCATTCTGGGAGATGTAGGCAAAGGAAAGCAACCTCTCAGCTAGCTAAGCTAGCTTGGTGGAATCAACTCACGCTCCGGCTCTTCGGTTGCCTAGCAACGACCTGCTGGGTAACAAGCAGGTTCAGCTCCACCCCCACCCCCCAACCTTGGTTGCCTAGCAACAAAATGTAGAGTAACCGGCAGCAGCGCCTCGCTCCCCGACTCCTGTAGGTCTCAGCCGACAGCTGAAGAGAACAACCAATCGCTTCGCTCCGATATCGGCTGGAACAAATCAACTTTCAGTCGATCCTCAACGTCCGCAAACTCCTGGCTCCCCGACCGAAAACTCACATTCAGCATCATCATCTTTGGAGAATAAACTGCATTGTCTTTTATCACCTGCCTCCTGATGGAGGTGTGTTCTGCATGTGGGCACAGAAACTACCCAAACCATGACACTTAATTGATTTATTGGTTGGTTGATTGATATACCTTACAGCCGTCACTAAAAATAAGTTGGAAAGCTTCATATTTTATTCTATAATACATAATGTCGATTTTATATAAGACATTTTTTACAGCTAGTGACATTTTATTTATTATGTATTTCATTGTTTATTTTTATTTATTTTTTAACATTTTATTTAAAATTTTAGAATATTTTCTTGAGTTTGTTCCTTTGATCATTTATTTTTATTTTGCTTTTTTAAACTTTAGTTTGAAACATATTTTTGATTTTGCTGAGTTTGTTCCTTATGAAGGAATCAGAAACAGCTGGTCCACTGGGAAGAACAAAGTTTGCAGCTGAATTACATAAAAATGACTGAAGTTACTTTTTTGGATCATTTCTGTTGCAGAAATTCTTTGCACATATTTCATAAAGCAGAATGTTTTTAACATTTATAGTAAAAATATGTTATTTCATCATTGTTTTTGGTTTTTCGGGGGAACCGGCCCAGACCAGAAGCTTCATGCATTCGTGACACGTGTGGCCAGTAAACACGTCTCAGGCTGCAGACATAAATGCAGTGAGTCTGGGCCAGCAGACGGCTTCATCATCATAACGACACGCTGCCGCGCGGCGCCCCGGCGGCTCGGAGCAGGAAATGTTTGCCTGTCAAACTCTGAGGGAAATGGAAAAGCAGCGGTACTGGAACCAATCTGCTGCTCCATAAAAACAAGCATTTATGATTTTCATTTATCCAATAAATCTCTTGATCTCAGATGTGTGTCTGCTTTTATCAATTTGTAACATGTTGGACTCATTTTAATGTAAATTTGAATTTAAAAAGTGTATAATAATGTCTTGACCCTGGTGCAGTACCACCACGGCCTCCTAGAGGTTGCGGCCCCCGTGTTGAACACCTCTGACCAATACTGATGTGAAAAAGTGTCGCCCCCTACAGCCAACATGTGAGCTGCTGTGAAAAAAACCAAAGCAATGACAATAATCTGCTAATAGCAAAGCTAACGCTTTGCTACGCGCTGTAGCAGTTTTGCTAACTCTGAAAACATTTAGCGCACCTAGCTTAAACAAACGTAATTCTTTAAGATAAATTCTTAAACGGTGACAGTGAAGCTGTTGTTCTTGCTAACTTTGAAAACATGGATGTTAGCGCATCATAAGCAACCGTCTGCGTCTGACGCTGCGTTTGTGCTGAGCTTGCAGTGACACTGATCTGAGCGCATGTCTGCGCTAAATTAGCAACACCACCAGCCAATCACAGACAGGACTGTAACTCACCTGCTTAAACTTTTCAATATATTTTTTGTTTGCCTTTTTTCAAGACTATAGTTGCACAGAGAGCTAGCTACCTAGCTAGCACTCTACTTCACCTAGCCTGGGCTAGGCTAACATTAACTGTGCCGGTTCTGTGGCGCCAAAACTTTGGAAAAAGAAAGCGTCCAATGTTTTTGGTTCTCTTTAATTCATCTTTGCTATCAGTTACTGGTGGATAAAAACAAACAAACAACAATTAGCCTGGCAGGGGGCAAGTAAAGCCTGGTCATTTGTGGCATTACTTTGTTTTCCCTCCTGCAGAAACTCGTTTCAGGTCGTAGTAAATGACGCCCCGGGGTCTGGACTCATCAGTGGCCAACTTGATGTGTGAAAATTGGTTTTCTGATCCCTCCGCTCGGCTAACGGGTTGAATCCGTCCCGCATGAGACGCCGGTTACGCTTTAATAACTCGTTTACAGTCCACACATTTTCATCACCGCAGCACTTTTCCAGCTCGTTCTAAATTCTCCCAAATTAAATCCAGATGGTGATTCTTTCTCTTCCTGATGATTAAATGTATCTGTAAGATTTGTTGCTTTTACGTTGTGGGGGATTCCCCCTGAAACTTCAGTCCAAATCAGACACAACGAATGAAACCTTGGATGAAAACTCCCAGTAATGGCGTCTCTTCCAAGCCCGTTAAGCTGAGTCTTACTCTAATCTCTCTATAGCTAATCCAAAATGCATTTCCCCATAAACCCAATAACATTATGCTACACAAGCAACAATTTTATATCAGGGATTATTTCTTAAATTTTGGAGTTTCACAGGAGGACTTAAGCTAATTATCTTGGAGAAATAATGGCTACGGTAAGTGCAGCTGTTTGCTGCCTGAACAAAAACTTTGCTTCTGCTTAAAAGTCATCCAAATGTCTTCCAGGAGCTCCAGTAGCAGTCAGTGTTACAATAAATGCGAAGAAGCCTCTGACTGACGGTGGTGATGACTTGCTAACAGGTCAACATCCAGGCAGCAGAGACGATATTCCACAGCAACACGTCTGCTGATCCACCTCCTTTGCTTTGAACGGCCGTCTGGTTGGAACGATGCTGGAGGAGGGGATAACATCCCATCATGGGCAATGTGTCCTCTGGGATGTGACGGTCATAGTTATTATTTATTTGAGCTCTTATTATGCTAATCAGTTGTAAAATGAATCCCATGTTGCCACGGTTACGCGAGTGCTGCCGTTACCAATACATTTACACAGAAATGTCAAAACGTGCACAGAAGCAAAGATGCCTCCCTTCACAAACTAGACAGCTTGACTTGAGAGTTAATTACACTTTACGAAACATTTTGAATTAAATCTGAACCAAAAAGACTCCAACTCATGTAACTGAGTTCATCTTTAATGTTTCTCCTGATTCTGCTTGATACATTAATTCCCACTCAGCTGTAAAAGTGCCGAGCCGTTTGGTTTCTGTTATTGTTTCCAGCTCAGGTTTATGTTTCAAGAGGAAACCCAACAGGAGCTGAAAGGTTCAAACATCCTTAGAAGTCAGAGTTACATAGAAAAAGACGAATGAAAATGTCTTTTTCCTCTTCATCGCGTTAATAACCCGCTGACTGATCTGGGGAGACGATTATCAGAGGAGCTGATTGTTAAATGGAGCAGGAATCACCAGAAGGCTTTTCAGTGTCTGCACAGACTAAGACTTCATGAAGCTGCAGGAAAAAACAAACAAAATAGCAAAGCTTTGATCTTATTGATTTTATTATCACTTTGCTTTTCTTTCAAAATCACCTGTGAAAAACTCTGTCAGTAAAGACTTTTAAAATAAATCTGGATGCTTGTATCACAACTTCTGCCCGTATATGGCGTCACATTCCTGCCAAACATTATGATGAGAGCTCTGCCAGCAGCAGGCGCTGCTTTGTGATGCTCTGTGGCAATTAATTCAATTTTAGTTTTATCAACATGACTCTTTTCTTAATCCAGTCTGGATTCAATCATCTGTAAATTTCTATGAACTGATCACTGAACGGGTATTTGTTTTTTTTCTGTTATTTTGTTTCATGGGTCAACCAATCGCAGCCAAAACGAGACAAATCGTTCAGATGTACTGGCTGTGTACAAAATGAATAAAAATAAAAAAGAAAGTTATGCACATTTTTGTCATGTTGGGTTTCCTCATCACCACAATGAATGAATATTTTTCCTTTGTGGCCAACAGGCACAGAAACAAAATGAAAGTTTCTTCAAGCTGCACCTTCAGCCCAACATGGCAGAAATCCTGGTGAGCCATTAAGGAAATTTATGTTGATTTGAACTGAATATAAATGTGATTTGTTTGACCTTTATAGGCAGGTTTGTTGACTGCAGCTGGGCTCTGCGTGTCACCGAACATTTAAACCAGCTGGGCATCCCGTACAGACACTCAACTTCTTTACACAACGGATCAGGATTCAGACGCCTGAGCAGCACAAACCTCTGGATTTATCTTCTTCTACACGCAGGAGAAGGAAAACTCTGGGCTGAAAACCAATAAATCACACAATGAATCAAAATAAGCTCATTCATTTCCATTTGCATGATTTAATGTTTTTCTCTTTTTAAAAAAAAAAAAAACTGGATGATAAAAGTCTTCAGTTTGCTGCTTTCGTCTCAAACCTTTTTTTGCAGGATAATTTTATTTACATAATATTCATAATTCATTTTATTTGCCGTTTCTGTTTTATTTATTCTGTGTATCTAAAATGTCTCCCAGTTCCAGAGTTAAATGTTTATTAGACATTAAAGTTTATTGATCTGTCACAACGTCTTCTTGCATTTTTATGCCTTTACATTTATATTACTTGAAAATTGTCTCAAAACAACAATATTATCGTTTCTCTCAGTAACTTCTGGGGAAAATGATGGTTCAGTGTCATCATGAGAGGCTTAATAAACACCTTCCTGTAACCGGCAGACAGGAAATAAACACTCAGAGTTGGTAAAAGAAGCCGTGGGCAGCTAATTTACATATTTATAAGTTTAATAAAAATGTGAAAACTCAATAAATAAAGTAAACAATCCTAAAACAAAGGAAATGGTCTGATATTTGCAAACCATTGCAAGGTCTGTGTTCTCAGCACCGGGAGCAGGACGCGGGTCGCTATGAGGGTTGCCGTGGTTACTGTTGTCTGATAGCATCAGCTAGCATGTTGTCAGCATATTTCAAATGTTTATCACAGCATAATGAAATAAATTCTGCAACCAAACAGACATCAGTGAATGAGAAACATTTTCAGTATGACGAGAAAAAAATTACCTGAAGTTACCGACTAATTTACAAAACTGATAGCTGTGTTGATCATCATCTCTCAATGAGATGTAATCCCTCTAAATAAGACAAACTAATCCGGATTAGGGATTTCCTAGAAATGTACATTTTCATAAGAGCAGAAGTTAGATTTCGCGTACAAAGGAAAATGAAATAAGGTCCTTTCAGTTAGCAGTCATTTTGCGCTGGTCCATTTTTCCAGTTTTTATGTGAAATAAAAACAGACTTTAGTTTCCAAAGAGTGTTGCTGTGTTTGTACAGATAAATCCAGTAATCCAGATGTGAAAATCAGATTTGGCTGCAGTGGTAAACTGAGGCACCAGGAGCCTCGGGTCCCTGCTCAACATAAAACCTGGTCCAGTAAAAACCACTGGACCTTTGTGATTTATTTACTATAAAATTTAAATCAAAGCACAAAAATCTGGTTAAAAAAAGATAAATAGTTTGTGCTTTTAATTTTTGGAAATTTTTTAATGTGATTTTTTTAAATATCTGCATCAATATCTATGCATATAAAGAGCAATGCTCTACAAAACCATTGGTTGGCTTTCTTCTGCTAAATAAAATATTGAAATTTGACAGCAGAGGGATTTTCTTTTCCTTCCTTTCTCTCCTGCTGTGACATTTATCAGCAGAATAAATCCTCCACAGAAGGAAGAAGAAAGGTCACCAAGGTCCTGTTTCTCCAGAGCCGATAAATAAAGTGGCTTTAAAGCGTCGCCGCTCTCCCACCCAAACGGACCGTTAAACTTCTGGTTACGCCCCCTGCTGGCTGCTGCAGAACTGCGATGTGAATCGTTCTGTGCAGGAGTCAGAGTTCGGTTGGTGAAGTGTTGACTGGAGATACCTCACTGCTGCTGTGGACCGCGGATGCTCAGGACTCCAGCTTGTGCTTCACTCATCGGCGCGCCGAGACGCTCCTGGCCGTCTGTGGAGACGGAAACAGAAACTTTCACACAGCTGAAAACTTTCATTTGAGTTAAAAACTTACTTCCTGTCCGTAAGATTACTGTGTCTTTAAATAATCCTGGGAATCCCAGATAATGATGTCATAATGCTGTGAGCTTCTGATAGGTTAGTTCATATCAGCAGAGTAAAACTCAGACACATCTGCAGATTCATCACAAGTCAAGTTCAGTTTTTCAAACACTAAAAATAACAAAAAACAAAAACTGAAATTGGGAAAATATTTTTGTTAAATGAAATAAATAAAAACAGTAACTGAATTGGAAAAACTGGAATTAATTGGAACTAAAACATACTGAAATTATACATATAAAATCTTTTTTTGTTTCGTGTTTATGAATCTATTTAACCTTTTTGAAATGGCGAAACAAAATGGCGACGACAAAAGTTTGAAGAAAACACCAGAGTTGGTTGTTCAACTTTATTTTATCTTTTTTTGAATATTTATTAATGAATCAATGTTTGCATAGTGACCATTTTAAATTCTGCACCTAAGAAATAAACCATAACATGAAAAAACTAAAAGTATTATTAAAAACTAAACAATAGTTAACAGATAACCAATAAAAACTAACAAACACGCTAAAAACTGCTTAAAACCTTTGATCACTAACAACTGGAACATCATAAAGTGAGTCTCTCATTAGATCTAATCCCTCTAAATAAAACAAAATAATCCAGATTAGGGTTTTCCTAAAACTGAACATTTTTAGCCAACATAGAAAATGAAACACATTCATTTCTACCCATTTGGCCAATAGGAGGCATTTTGACTGCAGGAGTTCAATTTTAGTTCAATTTTTCCAGTCAGACATAAAACAAAATAGATTTCAGTCATAATAATAATATAACAATAAATTCTTGCTTTCTATCTGCAGGCCAGTTGTGATTTTTCTGAGTTATTATTCTATAACAGTAAAATCCAGACAGATTTGGTCTCACTAAACGTTGTTTCCGTCGGTAACAGACGGGCAGAACATGGAGCAAAATGCTAAAAGCATCGCGTGGCAGTCAATCAGCTTGATTGATTTTAAACACAGCGCTCATTGGAGTTTATGCCTGGCTTTCTTAATGCCACTGAATGTCGCTGGACGTCGGCCAAATCCGATAAAAGCGTCTGTCCTGCACAAGATGTGGGACGTCGTCTCGTTTTATGGGAGGAAGGGACAAAACGTCCCAACGGGACATTTGGTCAACATGCTGCAGAAACGGGTCTAAAAACAAACGTGGAAAAATTCAGGCAACGTTTCAAAACAGCCAGGTTTCCACAGATGGGTAAAAAAATGTGTTACAAAAGTGACTTAAGGACAACAAAGGATGGATATTTATCAGATCGTTTATGGTCACTATGAAACATTTCTTATGATAAGACAATAAATTCCAACTAATGATGTTTGAAACCCCAAAAACTGCCTGAACTGTTGTAATTATATTTACAGTTTAGCTCATGTTTTGTTCCAGAGCATCAATAAATATTAAAACATTTCAAAATAAAATTAAATGCAGTTACCACGTAGAATAACCATTGGTGGACATCGCTAACTGAAACGTTAGCTGTGCTAACCCCAATGCACCAATCACAAACACTAGCATTAGTGTAGCACTAATGCTACACTAATGCATTAGTGCTACATGAACATGCCATTTAACCAGAGCTAATGCTAATCCGCTATACCAACATAGTATGTAGCCAGAGATAATGCTAAAGAGCTATACCAACATAGCATGTAGCCAAAGCTAATGCTAAAGTGCTACATGAACATGCCATTTAACCAGAGCTAATGCTAATGCGCTATACCAACATAGTATGTAGCCAGAGATAATGCTAAAGAGCTATACCAACATAGTATGTAGCCAGAGATAATGCTAAAGAGCTATACCAACATAGCATGTAGCCAAAGCTAATGCTAATGCGCTATACCAACATAGCATGTAGCCAAAGCTAATGCGCTATACCAATATAGTATGTAGCCAAAGCTAATGCTAATGCGCTATACCAACATAACATGTAGCCAAAGCTAATGCTAATGCGCTATACCAACATAGCATGTAGCCAGAGCTAATGTTAATGCGCTATACCAACATATTATGTAGCCATAGCTAATGCTACTGTGCTATACCAACACAGCATGTAGCCAAAGCTAATGCTAATGCGCTATACCAACACAGCATGTAGCCAAAGCTAATGCTAAAGCGCTAAAATCAACTAAGCTAACAGCCACCAGCTGTGATAAACTGAGTCCATTATATTTCTGCAAAACTTTTTCAATATTCTGCTAATTTGAAAGAAACAATTTGACATTTTCTGTTTCCACAACCAAAACTTCAACATGTTGAACTTCATTCAACTGAATTAGCGCTTTATGATTTCTGTGGGAAAATGTATTTAGCGGAAGCTAAGTGTGCTAATCGCTGTCAAAGTTTATAAACGTAATAAATGAAAAGTAAGTCCTCCAGCAACTGTACAACAAAAATAAATATTAATAAATCATAATAAATTCTCTTATGGTTGTGTAAAATGGACCATTAAGAAACCTCTAATTTACAACAAAGAAACACAGAAAACAATTTTCTCCTTTATTATTAGGAATAAATAATGAAATATAAATATTTCTGATGATCAAAACTGACCTGAAACAGGAAGAGTTCAGCTTCTGGTCTAAAGTTTTAAAGAATAAAACAGATAAACTGTTAAAAACAGAAAATATTCTGTGACTAAGCAGCTGATTCAGCTGTTTTCTCTCATGCGAAACATTAATAAATAAGCAGCTTAATCACTTCTAGTTCAATCAAATGTTTTACTCATTTAATCCAGATCATTTTAATCCTGTTGAGATTTCTGAGCCGTCGGTGTTTAATAAAGAAACAAAGTCATTGATCAGATGTGGACAAAATAAAATAATCTAATGTATGATTTGTGTTTTTACTGGGAATCCAAAAGCAAACCCGTCAGTTCAGCCGATACCTGAGTGGGAAGAAAAAACTCACAGCGGAGATGAAACAGTTTGAAATAAATTAAGACAAACTTTTCTATTTCTTGGAGCCCTGCAGCGTCTCCAATGTTTTCCTCAAATGCCTCGCAGAGATTAATTTAAAAGTGCAGAAAAGAGTTCAGACAAACTTTAAATGTAGAAGATTCTGCAAATTCATGCTTGGTTTGCACTCATGAATATTCTCCAAGCAAAAACAAGAAAATGCTGAGAAGCAGAACGTGACGAGACGAGGAATCAGAAATCCGAGTTCTGGCTTTACGTTTCTGTTTTCAGCACAAACAA